GTGCTACGCCTGCTAGGCGCTGCGGCAGTGTCGTGGATAGCGGCCGCGCTGAGAAACCACCCCCTGCGCACGCCCTATTGTGTCCAGAAAGTGCCACGCCTGCTAGGCTTTGCGACAGTGTCGTGGATAGCGGCCGCGCTGAGAGACCACCCCCTGCGCACCCCCTATGGTGTCGAGAAAGTGCCACGCATGCTAGGTTTTGCGACAGTGTCGTGGATAGCGGCCGCGCTGAGGGACCACGCATGCTAGGCTTTGCGAGAGTGTCGTGGATAGCGGCCGCGCTCAGGGCCCACCCCCTGCGCACCCCCTATGGTGTCGAGAAAATACCACGCCTGCTAGGCTTTGCGAGAGTGTCGTGGATCGGCCGCGCTCAGAGACCACTCCCTGCGCACCAGTGTCCAGAAAGTGCCACGCCTGCTAGACTTTGCGACAGTGTCGTGGATAGCGGCCGCGCTCAGAGACCACCCCCTGCGCACCCCCTATGGTGTCCAGAAGGTGCCACGCCTGCTGAGCGTTGCGACAGTGTCGTGGATAGCGGCCGCGCTCAGAGACCACCCCCTGCGCACCCCCGTGTGTGATGCAGTCAACACGTCAGGGGTGCGCTAGTGTTTGTGTTGCATGCGTCTGGAGTGTCTCATGTGGGTGTCCAGTATGTTGTGCATGCGTCTTGGCTGTGTGATGCGGTGAACACGCCAGGCGCGCACTGGCGTTGTGAGTGTGTGTGTGTGTGTGCGTTTACTGTTTCTGTGTATATTTGTCTCTGTGCGCAAGGAGAGGGAGAAGTAGGAGGAGAAGGAGAAGGAGAACCGCGGGTGAGACGCGGCAGGGAATAAAACCAGAACCCCACGAAGCATGTGGGGAAAAACCACGCCTGGGCACCCCCAGCCTCCCACACCCTTTCTGGGACCCCTAGTTCAGGGACGCCCCACGCGACAATTTTGGCCACGAACACCCAACACCCTGCCCCCGCATCCCAGCCTCCCACACTTTTCTGAAACCTCCAGGACCCCCCACGCGACAACTTTGCCCAAAAAAACGATGGACATCCATACCACGCCCCGGCACCACCAGCCTCCCAGACCTCTTTCGGGACATCTAGTTTACAGACCCCCCACACGACAATTTTGACCCCAACTGGACAAGCACTCCCAACCACGCCCTGGCACCCCCTCAAAAACCCATTCTGGGACATTAAGAACCCACCATACGATAAGTCTGCCCCAAAACAGACAAACACCCTCCACCAAACCCACAGACAACCCCCCACCACGCCTCCGCACCCCCAGCCTCCGAGACCCTTCTAGGACGTATGGTTCAGGGACGCCCCACACGACAACTCTGCTCGGAAACGGACAGATACCCCCCAACAAGCTCCGGCACCCACACTCTCCCACACCCTGTATGGGACTTCCAATTCAAGGATCCTCCACAACGGCAGATTTGCCCCAAACCCAACAGACACCCCCCACCACGCCGTCGCACCCCCCGCCTCCCAAACCCCTCCTGTGACCCCGAATGAACAGTGAACCGAAACAAGTGTTTAAGGGACCCGCCCCACCCCACCCAAAAAAAACGCGGCACCCGCCGCACAACGACCGCGATACGACTACGGTTACGCCTAAAACTACGAATGCACACGCACTAATCTATTATATCGCGCAGGGTGGCCCCAAGAGTAGGATTCGCTGGGGGGGCAGATTCCCCCAACAATATCCAGCAGTGCGCGCAGTAGTGCGAAACAAAATCGGTGGGCCGCGTCGCGGGCCCCGACGCTGCAGATGTGAATGTAGATTGTAGATGTATCAGCGCACAGCGCATTCCTGTTGCAAGCACGAAAACATGAAGGAGGAGATTGTGAGCAACGCCATCGGCGAAGAATGTGTAGATCTACTTTGCAATCCTCCCGCAAACCTGCTCAAAACTCATTTGCCGGGAGGAGGAGCCCCAAACATTCTCAAGCGCGGCGAAGACTGGTGGGAAACGCATCGGCGGCCCGCGGCGCGGGCGCCGACGACGAAAATGTAGATGTCCATTGATGGATCGGCGTATGCTGCAATCGCACTGCAACTGCGACAAGATGAGGGAGAAGATTGTGAGCATCGCGCTCGGCGAAAAGTGTGTCGCAAAAAAACGATCGCGACGCCGACGGCGCAGCCACGAGAGCGACGACGACGACGACGACGGTGACGGCGATCGCGCCAAATGATAGGGTCGAACAAATGGACGGGCACGAGGCGAAGGCGAAAGGGACGAAGCAAAGGGGGGAAACAGAAGGCAAAGGACAGACGAGGTGCAGAAGGGAACGCGAAGCGCGGGGACCGCACATCCACTGCAGCGAGATGATCAGGTCTGTGCCGCACTTCTAGCCACGAAGACAGAAGAACCTGACCTGGTGGCGCCCTGCTGCGGCTGGTTGATTATCGTCTGATGGATCCGACCTCTGATATGAAGGCTGTAACTCTGATATGAGGGCTGTCGTGAGCAGCATGCCCCGAAGGCGTAACTGCCCGTATCAACCATGTTGAGAGAATGTCGCGTTGGACTAATCGGTCGCCGTCATGCGCGCGCCCTATGCTGTGACGGCTGTTGCGAGCACCAAGCCCAGACAGCGCAATTGCCCTAAACAGCCATCGCGGCAAGAGAACTGACCAAGAGGGCCAAGGCGTCAAATATCCCGGTGCGACCCTACCTAGGAGTTGGAGCCTCTAGGAAAGCAACATTAGTGGGAGCGGTAAACGCCGTTATCCTCCTTATCCTCATCGTCGTAGTTGTAGCAGTAGCGGTAGTAGTAGTAGTAGTAGTAGTAGTAGTAGTAGTAGTAGTAGTAGTAGTAGTAGTAGTAGTAGTAGTAGAAGTAGTAGTAGCAGTAGTAGTAGTAGTAGTAGTAGTAGTAGTATGTTTAGTAGTAGTATTTTTAGTAGTAGTAGTAGTAGCAGTAAGTACATATATATAGCAGCAGCAATAGTGGATGCTGTGCTGCGATATGCTATGCTATGCTGTGCTGTGCTATGCTATGCTATGCTCTGCTATGCTATGCTATATCTTTTCTACCCGGTTATTACGCGCAGTTTCGCTTTCGGGCGCGCCATTCGCAACAACCGTCAGAAGATAGTTTTTGAAACGCATGTTCCTTACCTAAGCTCTGCCTAGAAGGGTTCTTACTCGCTTGGCTTAAAGGGGCCGGGCAGTGCAAACCGTCCCGGGCGGTTCCCCCAGCCCCCTGGGAGCCAAGCAGAAGCAACAGCACAGGTGAAAGCAAACGCGCGGTTCCCCCAGTTGTGCTCCCTGGGTGCCAAGCAAGTCGAGGGAAACGAACCGTTCGGAGCTCTGCGGTCCTCGTCGTCGGTGTGCATCTGAAGCCTCCGGGGCGGCGGCAATTGCCGCACAGGCCATCGAAGCATATGAATGTCCTGTCTGATGGTTCAGAATGCGCTGTTCTGTTCCTGGCGCTGCCGTTCCAGCATTATCCCAGTGCGACCCTACCTAGGAGTTGGAGCATTTAGGAAAGCAACATCTACATCTACACCGACAGCTACATTTACATCTACACCTGCATCTACATCTACATCTACATCAACATCAACAGCGAGCTGTGCTATGCTATGCTATGCTGCGCTATGCTATGCTATGCTATGTTATGCTGCGCTATGCTATGCTATGCTATGTTATGCTATGATATGCTATACTGCGCTATGCTATGCTGCGCTATGCTATGCTGTGCTGGGCTATGCTATGCTATGCTATGCTATACTGCGCTATGCTATGCTATGCTATGCTGCGCAAGGCTATGCTATGCTAGTATGTGCTATACTATGTTATGCTGCGCTAATTATGATTTGCTGCGTTATGCTATGCTATGATATGCTATGATATGCTATGATATGATATGATATGATATGCTATGCTAATGCTGCGCTGCGCTAAGCTAAGCTAAGTTGAGCTAAGCTAAGCTAAGCTAAACTAAGCCAAGCCAAGCTAAGCTAAGCTAGGCTAGGCTAAGCTAAGCTAGGCTAGGCTAAGCTAAGCTAAACTAAGCTAAGCTAAGCTAAGCTAGGCTAGGCTAAGCTAAGCTAAGCTAAGATGAGATAAGCAACGCTAAGCTAAGGGGACGTCACTGGGGGAATCACGGGGCGGATCCTGGGGGGAACCGCCCGGGGCGATTTACACTGCCCGGCCCCTTAAGCTCACAGGGTAAGAACCCTCTTGGCAGAGCCTAGGTAGGGAACAAAGCAAAACTCCACCATGCAACACTCTGCGGGGTCGGCAGCAGAGGCGGCAGCCTTTCCATGAATGCACCCTGCAGAGATACCCTAGACAGCTAAAATTGCAGCACACAGCACCACACGGCCAACGGCTTCACACGGAACCGCACGAGCAGTGGTGTCTCCATGGCACCACACGGTATGATGCAGCGCCACAAAGACAAGGAGTTCGACATGATACCGCAGGGCCCGCATGTCCGACACGACACGACATGGAATGGAAAAACAACCAGGTTCGACACGGCATTATGCGCGGCGTCACGGGCACCGAATCCGACACGGCATCGCGTGGCACCCCACAGACAGCGGCGGGTTCGACACGGCACCACGCACAGCAAGCGGGTTTGGCGCGGCACCACGCGGCAACAGACTCGGTAATGCACCACACGGCACCGGGCGGCGCCACCGAAGAAACGGGGCTGCCACGGCACCATACGGCACTGCGCGGGCAGCGGGTCCGAGGGCTGTTCGGCCCTCGTGAGGCCCCTCGTCAGCAGCACTGCCATGCTTCCGCTCGGCCGCCTGAGCAGGAGCAGCCCCTGGTGTGCGGCTCCGGGGTGGGCGCGGGGGGGCCCCGCCCGAGCAGGCAGGCCGCTGCCGCCGCACCTCACTCGGCGATCGGGGGACCCCCAGGGGGGGGGGCAGCAAAGGGCACTCTCCGGCAGAGGCTCGCTCTCACGTGCCATCGACCGTGCAGCTCCTGCCCCTCCCGGGTGCCCGCAGGAGAGAGGAGGGCGCCTGCGTGATGGTGTACAGCTCGTCGGCGCGCGTGGCGGAGCGCTGGTCCCAGGTCTTCTTCTTGTCCTGGGCGCGGGCCACGGCGCGCAGACCTCTCGCTCCGCTGCCCCCCCTCTCTCGCCCCCCTCCTCTCCATTGACTAGTTACCTACCAGACCACCCCAACCTAACGCAAAGGCCCAAATTTCGGATTGAAGGGCATACGGGTTCCACATGTGTTTTTTCAATGTTCCCCGACACCCCCCCCACTGGGAATGGAGGGCAAACTGGGGCCTGCGGGTTGGGTTGGGGTGGTTTGGCGGGTGGTGATCCATGGCCCCCCCATTTCCCACTGCGGCAGGTGCGTGTCGCGACGTTGGAGTGGGTGTCTGACACAGCCTGGATCTCTCAGACTTCAACGATCGCGGCGTTCCGACGGCGCGGATCCTTCGGTGTCGGCCGATGCTGGGCCAATGATTCAGTGTCCAACCTGGAAGGCCCGCGCTGGGGTCGCCGCCGCGTCGACGCGACGCGCACCTGCCGCAACTTCGCCTCTGTACACCGGTTACTCGGGAGATCAGACGACCTTGCGACCACGGCGCTTTGTCGGAGCAGGGCGAGCTGAGCCAGCGGCGGCTCCAAATCGGTCCCCAAGACCCCTCCCGGGTTTAGACGCGCCAGTTTCCCGAGCTGCGCCCAGCCGTGGCGACGAGGGGACCCTCCGAAGGACACGAGCCTCTCGAACCCCCAGCAGCGGTCCGAGGAGCGTGCAGGACGGCCCGAAAGAGGCACCCGCGGGTGTGGGGTCTGCCCCTTCTGCCAGTCTGTCCGTGTTGCCATCCCCGCGGCCTCAGATCCCCTGCAGCAAAACAATAACTCCTGCTGGCTGCTGCGGGACCGAGGGACCACTGACTGCCCACCAAGCCACAACAATCCAATCCGAAGTCGCCGTTGGGCCTGCCGGCTTCCAGTGGGGGGACGGGAACATAGAGAAAACACAGTGGAACCCGCACGCCCCCCGACCCGAAATTTGGGGTCTAAGACCTTCGGATTGGGTTGAGGTGGTTTGGTAAGCAGTGAACCATCTCCCCCTGCTCCTTTCGATGATCATCAGAGTCGAGTGCTATAAGATCAGCCGCGGAGGAGGAAACTGCCTCGCCGTGGCAGATAGCCTCCGAGGCCCAAGTTTCCCTCACCGTTCCACCTGTGACATCCCAGTGCGCCTCCAAAACTCATGCAAATGCTGAACAACCGAAACTGCGCCCTCCACCACCGCAGTGTGCCGGGAGATTTGCCCCGTCCAGCTGTTTCTCGTCAGTGGCCCTGGCCACTGACGAGAAACAGCTCGACGGCCCTGGCCCCTGGCCCTGGCCCCGGCTGCTGCTGCGGCTCCTCCGCCTTGGCTGGCCGCTCCGGCCCGCTCGACCTGGAACTTTTCGTCGTCTGAGTGCCCCCCGCCCTCTCCTCCCCCTTCGCGCGGCCGTTCCCTCCTTCCTCCCCCTGCCCTTGCATGCCAGGCACCTCGCTTTTCGGTGCCCCCGTTTGGCCTCACGCTGGTGCGGACTGCGTCCGCCTCACCGCCGACGGAAGAAAAGCTTCTCGTCCGTGCAGGCTCAGAAAGCGTGTGAGCACCAACCAGTGCCTGTCCATCGGAGCCCGCGAAGATGACGCAGGCGAGATGATCAGCGAAGGCAGACACGAGCCGCCTGCGATCGGTGGAGCTGAGCGCGGCAACACACGCAGTGGGCCAACCTACGTTCCAAGGATCTCGGTGGCAACTCACGGGAGCCTCCCATCCCATCTTCGTAGCTTTTACGAATCGACGCTGATCGACGCTAAATCGACACTAAATCGACGCCGATCGACGCCAAATCGGCGCTGCCTCCTCTACTACCCAGAGCTGATCGGCGCGAGTGCGCTCTGGAGACGGAATGACGAGGGCACACGAGGCTCAAGTGATTTGCTACCGAGCAGGATCATCGATCCTTCTCCCCATTTGCCCCACCCCCATCATTCCCGCCCTGCCCCCTCCCATCCAACCCCTCGCTCCACTTCGCCCAGAGCACAGCGAGGACGTCGCCTGGGGGCGTCCAAGAGGGTGGGCGTCAGAGAGGGGGGTGCGCAAATCACACCTGCGGGGCCTTTCCTGCTGCGTGGACCCCCCGAACGACCACGGCTTCGTTGACCCCTCCCGAACGACCACCCCTGACCACCCTCGATCACCCTCGATCACCGCCCCCCCCCCCCTTGTGGACCCCACGACGGGGTCGAGGAGGAGGGGGGCGCCCTCGATCGCCCCCGCTGTACTGCCCCCCCTCCCCCGCTGTACTGCCCCCTCTCACCCGCGGCACGTGCGCGGCCCAGAGGGGGGAGGGGCAGGGGACGCATCAAAACGACGAGAGGCGCCAAGAAACCTCGGGTGGGCATCACGGCCCCGGCCATGACATCCCCCGTTCCCCTGGCCATCCCCCCCCCTTGTCGGCGACTCCAGAAGGCGTGGTCTGCAGAGAGGGCCTCCCTGGGGATGCCCCAGGAAGGGAGCAGAGCTGGCATGAAGCGTCTTTCGGAGCTCCGTGCGGGATTCTTGGATCGGCGCTGGGGCCCCCTCCCTGGCGCGCGGAGCGCGCCCGGGAGGGCGCTGCCGCCAGCGGGGGCCCAGCGCCGACCCAAGAGACCCGCGTGGAACTCTGGAAGCTATGCTTGTGCCGCTTAGAATCCTGGAACGTCACTGGACAGTTTATGTCTCTGCAGCCGTTTCTTCCTCGATCGCCGGATGGCATACGGTGCAAGCAATACAATAGCAGCTCGACCACAATCAACCTTCCACAAGAAGCCCAGCCCTGAAACCCCAGGACGTTCATTGATGTTTGGTGTGGGAACGCCACGCTCTCCACAGCAAAAACATCGAAACCCAAGAAACCCAGGGCACCCTGGAGGCAAGCAGGGTGCTACTTGGCATGGGCTTCCACTGTAGCGTCGCGCAGGCATTGCAGGCGGGAAGAGACCATGGCACGGGCCGGTGCGCCTGAGCCGAGAACTCCTTCGCGCTCCGGCCCTGGACTGCTGAAGAGCGTCCGCGGGGAACTGGCCCATCCATGGAAGCGGACTGCACACAGTCGGCCCGTATCATAAGGATGCACGATAAGGGTGCAAGGGCCTTGGGCACCAATTTCCAAGTTTTTCGAGCGGGGCGCGGCCAGCGGAAGAGGCGAGGCGAGGCGAGGCGAGGCGAGGCGAGGCGAGGCGAGCCGCGCGTTCGCCGGCCAGTGGCTAACGGGGCCCGGGGGGCCGGCACGGGCGGGCCGGGGCCCGTAATAGTTAGACGTTGGAGTAGGCGACGAGGTCATTCTCCAGCGACTGCCAGAATGCAGTGTCTGTAGCAAGTTCCACCCAGTCCGTGCTCTTGTCCCAGGCAATAGTTGAGTGTAAGAACTGCGAGATGTCGTCGACCCAGCGTTGTCGCTGACCACCACGTCTGCGGCGAGCTTGGCGCAGGTCGTGGGCGTCGGGCTTCCAAGCTATAGCGAGTCGGGCCCACCTCTGTCAAGATTGCGTTGCTATGCGTTCTGCCCATCGCGATTTCCGCTTGTGGCGCAACATCGCCCAGTCCTCCACTTGAAAGCGCGTTGCCCGCTCCGTGGCTGCATAAGTCGCTCTGCGGATAGATTCGCCCCAAGGTTCGAAGTCCGAGTATTCGTCGGCGTCGTCGAAGTTGAGTTGCTGCCGGATGTCGTTAGAACTGATGCGTGGTCCGTCGTCGCTCTGCTCTGGGTCGGATCTGGTCGCGTCGTCGGCTGGTGTAGTCTGGTTGTTGGCTCGACGCCTGGGCGCGTTCACTATGAGACGCAAGATGCGTCGCTGGGCGCGTCTTAATACAAGGAGCACGTCCTTGGCGCCAACGAGGCGCAGCCGTACATGGCAGTTGGTGCCACCGAACCGCTGAACAATCTGAGCCTGAGATGAAAAGGATATCGGCTGCTTGTCAATTCGTCTCGGAATTCGCTGAAAGCGCCCCACCCCACGGCAATTACGCTGGAAAGCTCGGCCCGGTAGTAGTCGTGAAGCGCCAACTTCCACCCCAAATACTTGGCGGCCCCTTCCGCTTTGAGATTTGCAACCGCGTCGCCGTCGACGTCGGCGCGACTCGTTGTTTGCCCGCGCCTCCTGCTCATGTTCGTGAGAAGTTCGGTTTCGCCCGGGCGCAACGCAAGTTCGCACTTCGCGGCCGTGCGCTTGAGGCCACGCAGGATGCATTTGAGTTGGCGCAGATTGGGGGCGAGAATGAGGACATCGTCAGCAAATCCTAAACTAATCTCAAAGGCAAGCTTTTTGCACCCCAGCTGCACGCCAAAACCCTTTCGTTTCCAAGTTGGCTTGAATTGGCGGAACACGGGCTCGAGCAGGGCAATGCATAGGTAAGGGGTAAGAGCTGAGTACGTCGCCTTGTTTGACACCGCGTTCGACGTTGAAACTCCCGCTGCTGACGCCTGCCTTCGCCGCGGCCACCTGCCCACTGTAGAACTTCTGCAGTAGGGCGATGCACGGCGCCAGCACGCATTGCCCCCGTAAGGCTTCCCAGAGGCAGTCGTGGTCCACGCAGTCGAACGCCCTGTTGAAATCGATTGCAGTCGCCCACAGATGCAAGTGCCAATCGTAGGAGCACTCGCGCCACAGAGTCGCGGTGAAAAGGTGGTCATCTGCGCAGAAGCCCCTGCGGAAGCCAGCTTGGTCGGGGGGCCGTTGCGAGTCGAAGAGCGCCTCGAGCCGGTTGCGCAGCAGTCGAGACATCAGCTTGTAAAGTAATGGCATGATAGCAATTGGCCTGCAGTTGCTCGGTAGGCGCGGGTCGCCAGACTTGAAGATGACGCCACTCGCGGCGCGCCTCCATTGCTCGGGCGGTGTCTGGTCAGGCGCGAGAATATCATTGAAGAGCTTGTGCAAGTGCTGCGCGATCGCGTCTCCTCCCGCTCTCAAGAGCTCTGCAGTGAGGCCGGCCGCGTCTCTGCATCTGCCGTTTTGAGATGCCTCACTGCCTGGTGTAATTCGTCTTTGGTAAAAAGAGGGATGGCTTGTTGGGTGGTGTCGGCGCTTGGTCGGTCGTGGATCTGTCGGCGCTGGTAGGGCGCCGGTGTCACTCTTCGTGGAAATCTGCAAACGCGTCTGCGACCCCTTTCCGGTCTGTCTCGTCGTTCCCGTTCGCAGTCGCCCCGGCTTCTACGAGGTGTTCTTTTTGCCGGATTTGATCAAAAATATATTGTTGAGGCCGCGGAATTGGATTATGATGTCGTTGGGCGCTACTTGTCTTCGAGCCCTCTTGATGGCCCAGCGCTGTCGCAGGATACGATTGCTGAGAGCTGTCCTGGTGGTCGTGTCGGTGTGCGGTGTATTCTTCGCTGTGTCAGGAGTGTTTGTAGTAGTCGTGTGGCCTCGTCGTCGTCGTCTCGAGTTGTCAGTGGCTGTTGCTGTGGTTCGCGCACTTGCTGTCGCTGGTTGTCTTCGCGTGCCGCTCCTAGCGCTCGTTCGGATGGGCCGAGGAGGCAAGGATGCAAGGATGGGCCGAGGAGGCAAGGATGGGCCGAGGAGGCAAGGATGCAAGGATGCAAAGGGTACCCTTGGGGAGGTTGCCCATCCTTACTATGCGGGTTGATTGTACTGATTAATGTCCTTTCCTTCACTTTGCATGATGTTTTCCATGGCGCACCAACTGGCCGGTGCGGAGGGCGAGGCCAGATGTCGGTGCGAAGCACGGTCTTACACCCCACCTGAGCACACCTTAGGCCTCACTAGAAACGGCGGCGAGAAAACGATCGTAATGTGGACGAAGGACCACGAATTTGTATGCGAGAATGCGCTTGGCAAGCTGGCGCCGCCGCCTGGTGGCAGCAGCGTGAACGTCGCTGGACACGACGGCGGGGACGCCCCACGCTGCGCGGATCCACCAATTCAGCAGAAGGGCTGGACGCTCAGGCTCGGGGAGCTCCGGGGCGAGCTCCGGCAGACGTAGGCCACGACTGTGTCTGACTGCTTCGGCGGCAGGGCACTGCCAGAGGATGTGTCTCGCGGTGGCTCTGGTGCGGCACGCGGCGCAGTCCTGGGCCACAGCGTCGTCGACGTGGTGGAGGCGGTCTGGGCTGGGCTCGCCCCCGACGACGCACCGCCAGGCCCAGCTGTGATCTGGGCCGTTGTCGTAGCTGTCTAGGAAATCCCGGAGCACTTTCCCATCAAGGCTGGGGATGTTGACCACGTCCTGCCTGCTGACTTTCGCCTCGCCGGCCTTCATCACCCACGAGCGCCAGGCCTCCCGCACCATGTGGTCGAGCCCACTGCGGGTGGTGTTCGTGAGGGAGAAGGTCAGGTCGCCGATCTCCACCTCGAATGGGTCACTGGCCGTGCGCCAGCCCATGGAGTCCAAGAGCTCGCGGGTCCGCAGCAGCCACCCAGCAGACGGGCGAGCTGCTGGGTGGGCCGGCCTCCACCGCTGGCGGACGAAGGCCTCCGGAGGGCCGGCGAGGGTGCGTTTGAGCATGCCCACGGCCGCGTGCAACGCCACACCCATTGGCTCGATCTTCCACGTTTTGGGAGACACGTTCCACGCGGCCCCTCGGTGTCTCCAGGAGGCGTACCGGCGCCGCCCTGCGAGGGCTGTCTCCAAAGCTGCCCGCAGGGCCTGGAGGGTCTTGTCGGGCAAGACGCACCACGGCGCACCCCGGCGCAAAATGCCGACGTTGGCCAGGACGACCTGCCGCACCTGGCGCCGTGGCAGGCGAGCCGCCCGGCTGACTCGCTTGATCCTCGTGAGCCGCGCGAGCAGCTCCTGGACCCGGCGCAGGGCCCCCGTGGCAGGCTCTGGAGGGTTCGCCCCAGAGAGGTCCAGACGGACGCCGAGGACGTCCACGTAGCTCTGGTAGTTGCCGCCCTGGACGTTGGCGGCGGCCTCTGCCAACTTACCAGGGTCCTCCTCCTGCCCGCTGAGCCAGTCGAGGTAGGCCAGCGTGTCGGCGGCCGACTCCACCTCCTGCGGGGTGTCGGCAATCATGGTCCTGTCGTGCACGTACGTGGTGAACATGATGTCGTGGTCCGCGGCGAATCGCCTGGCGTGCGCCCCGGCAAGGATGGCAGCCCCGAGCGGCGAAACCGGGTAACCCGGGTCACCCTGGCGTATCCCGCAACCCTGACGACAGTGTTGCGGGCACTATTGTCCGATAACAAGAACACGGCGTCCTTGTCATGCATGCCGAAGAGACCGGCCACCTGCATGACGAGCTCGGCCTGTAGCCGCGTGAAGCAGTTGCTGAGGTCGCTCTGCCGGACAACGAAGCCGGCGTCGTCCTCGTAGGCCTTGTCGATGGCGAAATCGACGAGAAGCACGGCAGCGGTGGCGTTGGTGGGCTGCACCTGCTCGGCCCAGCGCTTGTACTTCTGAACCATAATCTTCTTGAAGGCCCTAGCGACTGCCTGCGCGACCCCAATCGGGCGAAGGCCCTCCCCAGAAGGCTTGGGGATCATGGCCACCTCCTGGCTCCTCAGAGCACTCGGCCACCTCCCTGTGTCACGGATGAGATCGCCGATGCGCCCCAGCAGCTCGAGGGCGACTCGTGGCGCCCGCGCCAGCAGGGCCGCCGGGATCTGGGCCGGCCCTGCCGCAGTGCCCACCATGGACCGGAAGGCTTGGCGCAGGCTGGGGCTCTCGAAGGTCGATGTAGCCGTTGATGCGGTTGCCAGCCAGGGCGGGGTGCTGCTTTCTGTTCCACTGCCGGACGGCCTCGGCCACGACGGCGGAAGGGTCCGCAGAAAGTTGTCCTGCGGTGCCCCCAGAGAGTTGTCCCGTGGTGTCCCGGGCGGCAGCTGTAGGCTTAGTCAAATGCGTCGAAGACGTCGTACCCGTGCCATGGCGTACCCATAGCCTTGCCAGCCGAGGCCCTGGATGAGGACGCCGTAAATATGGACATGCCTCCTCTCAACCGTACGAGGTTGAGGGGGGGGGGCTGGCTCAGGGCGGGTGGCTCACCGCGGGGGACATCGAGATGGAATCGGCGATACGTCTCCGACAGATGCCGTTCGGGGCTCCCCAGGAACGCTCTCGGCGAGGCGCAGCCGCCGAAAGGCACCCCGAAGCTGGAAAGCCGCCGGGAACCGACGAAAAAGTCCGAAAGCCTCGAACTTCGGACCCGAAACGTCCCTCCCCCCTCTTCCTCCTTCCCCCTCTTCCTCCTCCTCCTCCTCCTCCTCCTCCTCCTCCTCCTCCTCCTCCTCCTCCTCCTCCTCCTCCTCCTCCTCCTCCTCCTCCTCCTCCTCCTCCTCGTCGCAGGAGAGGAATCCGGGGAGGCGCCAGATGAGCTCTCCCGGGCGCATCTGCGGGCTTCGGGCCGGGTCCTTGCACATCTGGGCAAGCGTCTCGAGGTACTGCTGGTCATCCAGCAGCTGCGCCGCGACCGTGGAGAGCTCCTCGCTGTCCGCCTTGATCTTGGCGATTGTGTCCGCCTCCAGCGGGACCCGCCATCCCTCTGCGCCGCGACACCACGAGGAGCTGGGATCGGGGGTACTTTCGGGCCCAAGCAACACCCCTCGGATTACGGCCATGGCTCGCCGCTGACGGTGGCCGGGCTCCAGCATTAAGAGGTTGAGTCCCGCCGTGGCGACAAGAGCCAGCACGACCGAAGCTGAAAGCAAACTCCTTCCGTTCGCGAGACTGCGCGCGGGCTCTGCCTGCCGCCACCTCGCGAGCGCAGGTGCTGCGGGCGGCGACCCCTCCCAACCCCCGCTGCTCGGAAGCGGGAGGGAAGGCCAAGAGCGGAGCAGGGAGGGCCCGACGGCCCGCCGGCCCGCAGAAGGCACCAGGTGGACCAGAAAACAGATGGCACCACCCCGTGCACGGCCACGCGGGGCCCAGCGCGTGCCAGGAGATCTGGAGGTGGACTCCTGCGTGGTAGACACTACGGCGCCCGGCGGGCCGTAGCGCAACAGGGAGGGCCGCAGGTCGGGTGGTGTCGTCTGTTTTGCGCTCAGTTGAGCCGAAAGGCCCACAGCGAGGGGTGCCGCGCAGAAGCACAACGCGCCGCCTCCCGAGGGGAACAGCACAGGGGCAGGAGCGGGCGGAGCAGCAGCAGCAGCAGAAGCAGAGCAGGAGCAGAAGGAGGAGGAGGAGGAGGAGGAGGAGGAGGAGCCGGAGGAGGAAAAGAGGAGGAGGAGGAGCAGCAGGAGGAGGGAGGAGGAGGAGGAGGAGGAGGAGGAGGAGGAGGAGGAGCGGAGGAGGAGGAGGAGGAGGAGGAGGAGGAGGAGGAGGAGGAGGAGGAGGGGAGGAGAGAGGAGGAGGGGGGAGGGAGGGAGGGAGGGGGAGGGAGGGGGAGGGAGGGAGGGAGGGAGGGAGGGGAGGGAGGGAGGGGGAGGAGGAGGAGGAGGAGGAGGAGGAGGAGGAGGAGGAGGAGGAGGAGGAGGAGGAGGAGGAGGAGGAGGAGGAGGAGGAGGAGGAGGAGGAGGAGGAGGAGGAGGGAGGAGGAGGAGGAGGAGGAGGAGGAGGAGGAGGAGGAGGAGGAGGAGGAGGAGGAGGAGGAGGAGGAGAAGAGGAGGAGGGGGAGGAGGAGGAGGAGGAGGAGGAGGAGGAGGAGGAGCAGGAGGAGGAGGAGGAGGAGGAGGAGGAGGAGGAGGAGGAGGAGGAGGAGGAGGTGCGGCGGCGGCACGGGCAGGCGCCCCTGCCACACGATCGCCCCCCCTTTTTTATGCCGATGCCCAAACCTGGGCCAGCCAGCGCACGAGGCGCAACAAATCAAAATGTCGTTCCTGCCTTCACGATGTCACGATGTGCGCGCGTCAGAATGCCGGGTGCTGCTCGAGCTTCTGGATTCTAGCAAAGAGCCCCCCCCTACTCACGGAGTGGTGCAAGCATCCCCCCCACTTCCCGAGGCTGCGATCCCTCGTAATAAACTGAGGGTCCCCGCTCTATGGATCCGCGTCCCGAGCTTCCAAGAAGGCCCATGCAGGCAACCAAAGACACCAAAATGATCAAAGATGCCTCGAAGACGGGCCAAGATTGCCACACAGGGGGTCGACTGTGTCTTTCTCAAGACGGACCAAGATACCTCAAAAGGGCCACAAGCCACAAGAGGGCCTCCAACAGGGCCGAAGAAGCCAACATTTCTTATGTCTTCTTGGGGGGGTGCAAGATGTTCGCATGCTCTCCTTTTCGCGCTTCCGTCAGCTCGAGAAGGCCCAAGAAGCCTCCACGATAACCCCAAGAAGGCCAAAGAGGCCCCCACACGGGTCCAGAGATGGCCCAAGAGAGCCCCGCGAGGGCCCAAGAAGCATCCAAGACGGCCCAAAAACGGCCCAAGAGGACCCCACGGCCTTAGAAGGCCCTTCGACTGCCCAGAACGTCGCCAAGACTGCCCCACGACGGTCCCCAGCCACCCACACCCACCATACGGCCAAGAGGGCCCCAAGACGGCCCAAGAGACTGCCCCACAGGAAGCCAAGACAGCCCCAAGAAGGCCAAAACGAGTTCCATTACAGCTCCTCATGTAATGAAGACGAAAGGTGTCACGTGTGACAGCCTTTCTCTTCCTCCCCCACTGTTTTTCCTTATGAATAAATTCTCCCTGTCACACCCCGAGGCCAATCGGAAAGGCGGACCCGCTGTTTCCTCTGACACTTCCTTGCCGCTGCGACCCTGAAACTTCAAAGTTGGCAACTGTTTCACACGCGGAGGGCGGGTGGCTTTCAAAATGTGGTTATGGCCGTAGAGCCGCACACATTCGTGTCAACTCTGCTAGAGCTTCACGGATGGAGGCGGCTGGTTTTCAAGATGTGGCTCTCGCCTTCGCGCCGCGCACATCAGTCTCAAAAGCTGCGTGAGTTCCACAGATTGAAGGCAAATTGTTTTCAAAATGTGGTTCTCGCCTCAGCGCCGCGCACACTCGTCGTAAAAATGCAAGAGGCTCGCAGATGGAGGGCGGGTCGTTTCCAAACAATTGTCATGCCAGAAGGTAAGAGCTCCACAGATGGAGGGTGGTTCTTTTTCCAAATGTGGCTCTCGCCCCAGCGCCGCGCACATTCGTGTTCAGACTTTACAGTTGTTTCAAGGATTCTCATGGTGAGCGTCCCAGAAATAGCGTTTTGGCAGGATGTCGGACTGTCAGGGCGCAACAGTTACGCTGATTCGTGGTATTGTCCGAGAAACTTCGTTTTGGCACAATGCAGGATCGTCAAGACTCACCAATAACGATGTTCCGCGGCGTTGGGATCCCAATATTCGTGTTCCGGCACAGTTCAGGATTAACAAGCGATTGTTTTCCAACGGAGCATCTCCTTCAGTGAGAATAAACCCTTGTAGGGGCCTATGAAGAGGGGAGCTTGGAGGAAAGGTTTATTGCAACATCGTTGATGAGTCTTGAGTTTACACTGCTGCTCCTCCTCCTCCTCCTCCTTCTCCTCCTGCCCTCTTCCTCTTCGTTATAATCACCATCATCATCATCATCATCATCATCATCATCATCATCATCATCATCATCATCATCATCATCATCATCATCATCATCATCATCATCGTCAGCATCGTCAGCATCGTCAGCATCATTATCATTATCCGAATAATCATCATCATCATCATCATCATCACCATCACCATCATCATCATCATCAGCATCATCATCATCATCATCATCATCATCATCATCATCATCATCATCTGCATCATCAGCATCAGCATCAGCATCAGCATCAGCATCAGCAGCAACAGTATCATCAGCATCATAATCATAATATCGTCTCTCGATCTTGGAGACACGAGGTGCCGCACGTGACGGCCTCCAGTAACCCCTCGAACAGTCGCCAGTCAGAATGCTGGGCTGGCATGGTAGCGGGCGGGTCTTGTCGCAGGCAGCTGTATCTTCGAAGAAGAAGAATTTGCATAACACAAAAACCTTTCGGAAGTCCGCGCGGATTTCTTGGATCGGCGCTGGACCCCCCTCCCCTGGCGCGCGGAGCGCGCCCGACCCGGCCAATAGCGCCGCCATGAGGGCTCCGGCGCCGTCCCAGGGGATCCACGCAGGCCTCCGAAAGCTTGTGATGACGTCGACGCTTCCCGAAACCAGTGCTCGAGCGACTGGATGGGCGAGGGGCGTTTTGCCCCGTGTTGGTACCCCGTCGTCGGCGCCTCGTGGGCGCCCCGTGCGCTGGGTGGGTGTGGCGGAAGGGCGCCTGGTCGGTGGCCTGCCGCGGGCGCCTCGTGGGCGCCCCGTGCGCTGGGCGGGTGGCCTGGAATGGCGCCTGGTTGGTGCCCTGTCCTGGGCGCCTCGTGGGCGCCCCTACAGGCGGATCCTGGAAGGAAAGTGAAACATGGCGACGAGGTGCTCTCAAGTGGCCAAAAATAGTCAAGGCATCGTCCCCCGACAATCTTGGGACCGTTTCTGACTGGTTCCTCCCGTGCGGGAACGTGCCCGACTGAACGCTGGGCGGGTGTGGCGGACAGGCGCCCGAGGCGCGCCCCCACGTGCGCCGGGTGGGCGTGGCGGGGTGACGCCCGAGGAGTCCGCCCGTGGGCGCCACGAGGGCCCCTCGGAGGCGCCCCCATGCGCTGGGTGGGTGTGGCGGGGTGAGGCCTCCTCCTCCTCCACCTCCTCCTCCTCGTCCTCCTCCTCCTCCTCCTCCTCTCGTCTCTCCTCCTCCTCCTCCTCCTCCTCCTCCTCCTCCTCCTCCTCGTCCTCCTCCTACTCCTCCTCGTCCTACTCCTCCTAGCTTCCTCCTCCTCCTACTCCTCCTACTCCTCCTAGCTTCCTCCTCCTCCTCCTGAGGCGTCCGCCCGTGGGCGCCTCGAGGGCCCCATCGAGCGCTGGGTGTGCACCGCACAGCTCGCAAAGCCCCCAGCTGGCACTAGGTCGAGCGTGTCCTCCTCGAGGCGGATGCTGGACGGAGAATTCAAAAATAGTCCGAAAATACCAAGTGCTCAAAAGGAATGAGAAAATCATCCCCAGAGTATTTTGATTATTTTTGAATATTCCTCCTGTAGAGGGACATGCCCGACTTAAAGCTTGCACCACATGCACTGCATCGCACAGCTTGCATCACACAGCGTGCACAGCTTGCACTGCACGGCTTGCACCACATATATCATGCACGTCCAGGGTGCAGTACTGTACCGCTTTGGTTTCCACGCTGGCAAGCCTTCCTCTTCTCGAAAGAAGTTACGCAGGTGGATCCGGCAAGCCCCCTGCAGAGTGGGACTCGAGTGCTCACCAGCAGCGTGGTGTCGATGATTTGCTTGGGGCCGCCCTGGCAGCGGTCTTTCTCCTTCTGGTCATCCTCCTCGTGCTCCTGCTCCTGCTCCTGGTCCTGGTCCTGGTCCTGGTCCTCCCCATCCTCATCCTCCTTCTCCTGCATCCCTTGTCCTTTAATATAACCCTTGCCTGTAACACACACACACACACACACACAAACACACACACACACACACACACACACACACCCAGACGTGTCGGTAGGGCGGGCAGGGCTTTTCGCCTAAGACTTCCTCATCATCCATGATTTCGAAACTTGAAATTTGAGGGCAGGAGGTTTTCACATTGGGTGAAAGACACCACAGTTCAAGGATTGAGGGCGGGTGGTTTTCACGGTGGAGCTCTCGTCTTAGCGCACGCGCACATACGTCTGAAACGCGTGCAACAGTTTGGAAAAATGGAAGGCGGGTAAAACATCAAGGATGGAGGACAGGTGGTTTCAAAATTGACTCTCTCCTCAGCGCCGCGCACGTTCGTCTGAAAAATTTACAAATGCTTCCAGGATGGAGGGCGGCTCCTTTTCAAAAGGTTGCTCTCGCCTTAGCGCCGGACACATTATTCTTAAAAGTTTGCGACAGCTTCGAATATTCGCACGGTTGAAGTTCCAGGAGTGGTGTTCTGGCACGACTGAGGATTGTCAGGACGCAACTGCCACGTTGATTCGCGGTGTTGAAGTCCCAGGAACGGCATTCTGGCACGACTTCAGATTGCAATGACGCAACAATCACGTTGATCCGCGACGCTGAAGTCCAGGAAGTATGTTTTGGTATGTTTCAGGACTCTCAGACAGCATTGAAAATGTCTGTGGGAACCTATGCATAGGGTATATGGAGGGAGGGTGTACTGCAACGCCGTTGATGCGTCTTCGGTTTCTACTGGTCCTCATCCTCCTCCTCCTCCTCATCATCATCATCATCATCCTCATCCTCATCCTCATCCTCATCCTCATCCTCATCATCCTCATCATCATCATCATCATCATCATCGTCATCACCATCACCATCATCATCATCATCATCATCATCATCATCATCATCATCAGCATCATCATCATCATCATCATCATCATCATCATCATCATCATCATCATAATCATCCCCCTGCTCCACCTCCTCCTCATCATCATCATCACCATCACCATCACCATCACCATCACCATCATCATCATCATCATCATCATCATCATCATCTTCATCATCAGCATCATCATCAGCATCATCAGCATCATCATCATCAGCAGCATCATCATCAACCCCCCTGCTCCACCTCCTCCTCCCTCATCATCATCATCACCATCACCATCACCATCACCATCACCATCATCATCATCATCAGCAGCATCATCATCATCATCATCATCATCATCATCATCATCATCATCATAATCATCATCATCCCCCTGCTCCACCTCCTCCTCCTCATCATCATCATCATCACCATCACCATCACCATCACCATCATCATCATCATCATCATCATCATCATCAGCGTCATCATCATCATCAGCGTCATCATCATCATCAGCATCATCATCAGCATCATCAGCATCATCATCATCAGCAGCATCATCATCAGCCCCCCTGCTCCACCTCCTCCTCCCTCTCCTCCTCCCTCATCTCGTCCTCTCTTCGCCAACCCTCATCCGCCACTCCCTCGATCTGGAGACGCAGGCACGCCCGCCGCGGCTGCGCCGAGAGGTCTGGAACGGGGGGGAACCCCTTCTTCGCTCGATCCGCCTTCTTGGCCTTGGTAGCATCCAGGTCGTAGTTCAGGTCCTTGATCATGGCATCCATCGACTGGAGATACCTCACATGATTGCCATCCTCGTCCTTATCCTCCTGTCAACTAGCATCATCGTCGTCACCACCACAGCCATCACAAGATTCATATATATATATATATATATAAATATATATATATATATACATGTATAATCTTCGGTGGGGTCCTACAGGCATCCATCCATACATGTGCTTGCGCTGCCCTCTTCGCACCTCTACGACGGCTCTGTGGCTGCCCTCATCGATCGCGCCGACGTCCTTCTCACCCTCCCAGTGAGCACAGAAAGCTCCAAGAGGCGGTGGGCACATGGTGTGGTCTTTCTTGCTCGTCACCTCAGCAGCGTCCAACTCATCCTTGGTGTTCTTGAAGGACTGGCAGGACCGGTGGGCACACCAGTGGGTCCGCAGCAGCGGCTCGCTTACAGCAGATGGGGCAGTGAGCCAGCAGTTCGGCCACCGGGCGCGCCCCCCGCGACCGAGCTGGTCCACGAGAAGAGGGAGGCAGAAGTGGAACGAGCACATGTGGGGAGGCGAAAGAGGAGGAGGATGGGGAGGCTAAGCTTAGGACGACGACGACAGACGGGATTCGGAGCAGGAGGGGGAGTGGGCTGGCGGGCGAGGACGGGAGCGGGACTAGGAGCGAGAGCTTCTCTGGGGAGTCTGAGCGTGGGGAGGGGGCAGGGGTGGGAGCGGGAGAGTTGTTGGCAAACCGCACAGGGGGGGGGGGGGGGCGCGAGTGGGAAGCCCGTCTAAGAAGGCGGCGGGATTCTGAGAAGGCAGGGGGCTTCTTAGAGGCCCTCCCAGCTTCTAAGAAGCAGTCTTAGAAACCCCGGGGCACTTCTGAGAAGCCCCCTGCCTTCTAAGAGGCCCGCCGCCTTCTTAAACGGCCTCTCCACTCAAACTGACACACACACACCTTGCGCGCGCGGCCAGTGTTGGCGGCTGGCATATTCAGGCAGGTTCGGTCACTAATGCCATCGGGAAATCAGATACGATCTGAACGTACGTCGGATCGGGCTGCATCAGAGGGGGGCGAAGCCGAATCTGACAAGCCGCGCCAGGATTCTCAGCAGCGCCATGCAAGCATCGGACCGCATCGGACGGTCAGAACATCCGCATCGAATCGCATCGGGCCGGCCGGAGTCGATATCGGATCGATAATCGATCGGACCGAACGAAAGCGGATCCTGAGAGGGCCAGGAGCAGGAGGGGCAGCCAGCCGAGATGCCAGGAGTCCCCAGTCGGGAGGAAAGACAGGCCTCGCGAGAGCAGTGCCCCGCCTCCTCCTCCTCCTCCTCCTCCTCCTCCTCCCCTCCTCCTCCCCTCCCCTCCTCCTCCTCCTCCTCCTCCTCCTCCTCCTCCTCCTCCTCCTCCTCCTCCTCCTCCTCCTCCTCCTCCTCCTCCTCCTCCTCCTCCTCCTCCTACCCCCGCGCGCGCCGTCCGAGAGGCGGGGACGGCGGCGCGGGAGGCGCCGCCAGGGGGCCCCGGCGCCGATCCGAGAAATCCGCGCGGACCTCCGAGTTATTATGCTTATGTCATTGATCGTTCCACTAAGTATGGGCGAGGGGCTGGGCTCCGGCGAGTAGGCGCGAGGAGGCGAGGGGTGGCCAGGCTCGGGCCCAAGACATGTGCGCCCTGGCAATGCCCACTTCCGTTTTCAGCAGAGTGGGGCGAGTGTACAGTCGACCCGTCTCATCAGGACAGGCGATAAGGATGCAAGAGCCTTGGACGCCCATTTCGAAGCTTTTCGAGCGCGGCGCGGCCAAGGAACGTGGCCAAGGACGGACCGAGGAGGCAAGGATGCAAGGGCACCCTTGGGAAGGTCGCCCATCCCCACTATGCGGGTTGACTGCAGGACCCGAGCGGGAGGGTGGAGCAGAGGGGGGCGGAAGACGGGGAGGGCAGGGGGCGAGGGCGCACGGCGAGCGTCCCACACCCGGCAGGGGATCTCGAGGGGCGCGCCCGGGAGCGCGGGGGAGGAGAGGGGCAGGTTCGTGTCGCGACGACCTCGACGCTGGCTTCTGACGCCGCGTGGATCGTTCGGCATGGAGAGCTCGGCGGCTCTCCGATAGCGCAGACCGTTCGACGTCGGCCCCCGTTTCAGGCCGCTGGCGTCGTTCAGCAGGGGCCGCCCGCCGCTGTGGGTTCTCCGCCGCGTCATCGCGGCACGAGCCTACCGTAAAACCGTAAACACCAACATACAGTGGAGGCCAATCCACAAAAAACCTTCCGCAGGAGAGCCAATCCTTAGACCCCGGGGCGTCTCTGGATTTCTGGTGCGGGAACGCCGCGCTGTCCACAGCAAAACCATCAAAACCCCAGAAACCCAGGGCACCCTGGAGGCAAGCAGGGTGTTTCTTTGCATGGGCCTCCACTGTAGTGGTGGGCGGCTCTTCGATCGGCAGCTCGTTCCAAGGCGGCTGGTTCTGGGCCGCCGCCGGGGCTCTCAGCCTCGAGCGCCCGCGGCGGGGTCGCCGTCGGGTCGGCACGACGACGCGAACCTGCCGCAGAGGGCAGGCCATCCCCACCCCCACTGGGGGAAGCCTCGGCCCCGCTGGACGCCCTGCCTTCCCCCGGGTGTGGATGGCCGCAGTCTCCTTCGAGTTTCCGCGGCACGCATCTCCGCCCAGAGGGGGCACGCTGGGAGAGCTGACGCAGCCTGTCCCCGCAGGGGCGGGGATGGTTCTCCAACAGTGGTGCGAGGAGCACACCCTGCTGCGGTCGGGCTGCTGAGACGAGGAGCGAGGAAGGAGGAGCGAGGCCCCTTTTTGGCTCCAAGGGCGCCTGCGTGCAAGAGGAGGGCTAGAGGACCAGCCATGGAAGGACCCGAGGAACATCGAGCCCCTTCCGAACCCAAACTGTTTCTTTTTCCAGCGTCTGGACTGCACGAATCACCGCCACAAGCGACGCCCTGCAGCAAACGCACCTGAGGAAGGAACCGAAAAGGGCAGGACTGTTCGGTGGAGGCCCAGGAGATGTTCGGCAAGCGCCAGGTACGAAAGCCTGCCTCCCTCGGAGGTCGGAGCGGGACTGGGCCCCTGCCGGAGGGAGAAGAAGCGGTGGCCGTGACCAAGACTCGACGCGGAAACGTCGGTGTTACTCTCGAGCATCGCTCACCTCTCGGGCGACGAAAAATGGCATAATCATTAAAAAAACGGAGGTCCGCGCGGATTTCTAGGGTCGGCGCTGGGGCCCCCTGGCGGCGCCTCCGGCGCCGCCCCTGGCGCGCTCCGCGCGCCGGGGGGGGGGGGTCCAGCGCCGATCCGAGGAATCCGCGCGGACCTCCGAGATTTTATGCTTATGTCATGCTTCGTTCCCCCAACCTCGGTCGGCAGCACTTCGTGGATCGTCCTCGCGAATCGGCGACGGCCGGCATGGGCCACGGCCGAGATCGGCGCCAGCAAGGCTGCCGCGACAGGTGGGCCGTGGCCCCGTGCTCTCTCTCGCCTCGGCCCTGCGCCCGCCCCGCGCGGCGCCTTGCCCAGCTCCTCGAGGGTGCTGATGATGTCGGACGAGTGGAACTTGTAGTTCTCGAATGGCACTTCGGGCTCCTGCCCTCGAGGCTACCTAGATGGGGTCCGAGTGGACGGGGTCGGGGGATCGGACCACATCGCCACTGCATCGAGGATGAATCGGCGATGCATCGCCGAAGCATCGGCGATGCATCGTCGATGCATCGTCGATGCATCAGCGACGTCGGGGGCGTATCGGCGACATCGGCGTGGAGAAAATCGGGATCCGCATCGTGCCGCATAGGCGATGCAACGGCGATGCGGCACGATCCTCCGATTCCATCTACTGCGACCCAATCTGGGAGGCCTGGATCCCCCCAGGGCTAGGTCGGGCGTCCTCCTACGGGCGGATTTTGGAAGATAAACAAATATGGGCAACAAGAATGATCAAAGATAGCCAAGAATTGTCAAAAAAACCTCCCCCGACTATTCTTAGACTGTTCTCGAATATTCGTCCTGTAGAGGAACATGCACGAATGAACCCCAGGGGAACCCCGAGCTTCGGCGACTCTCGAGCCGCTCGAGCCCCCGGGCCCCCGAGCCTCGAGCGAGCTCTCCTTCTCGGAGGAGTAAGCTACCCGACGTGCATACAGTAGGAGGGGGAGGAGGAGGAGGAGGAGGAGGAGGAGGAGGAGGAGGAGGAGGGGGAGGAGGAGGAGGAGGAGGAGGAGGAGGAGGAGGAGGGGGAGGAGGAGGAGGAGGAGGAGGAGGAGGAGGAGGAGGAGGAGGAGGAGGAGGAGGAGGAGGAGGAGGAGGAGGAGGAGAGGGGGAGGAGGAGGAAGGGAGGGGGAGGAGGAGGAAGGGGGGAAGAGGAGGAGGAAGGGGAGGAGGAGGAAGAGGAGGAGGAGTAGGAGGAGGACCAGTGGAAACCAAAGAGTCGTCAACGATGTTGGAATTAACCCTCCCTCCAAGCTCCCTCTTCATAAGCCCCTACAACGGGTTCACTTCCATTGAGGGACATACCTCGTTGGAAGACACCCTTAAAAACCCTGAAGCATGCCAAAGCATTGTTCTCGGGATTTCAACGCCACGGATCAACCTGACTGCTGCGTCTCGACGATCCGGAATCGTGCCAGAACGCCATTTTATGGACTCCAACACCGCGAATCAGCACAACTGCTGCACCCGCGTAATCCCGAATACTTCCAGAACACCACTTCCAGTACGCTGATCATGGGAATACGTGAAAATCTTTCAAATTGTGTGAACGAATGTGCGCGGCGCTTAGGCGGGAGCCACATTTGGAAACAACCCGCCCTCAATCCGTGAAAGTCGTGCAAGTTGTTGAAGGAATGTGCGCGGCGCTAAAGCGAGAGCCACATTTTGAAAACCACACGCCCTCAATCCGTGAAACCCTGGCGAAGTGAAAACGAATGTGCGCGGCGCTAAGGAGAGAGCCACATCTTGAAAACCACCGACCCTCAATCCGTGAAACTCTTGCACTGCTTTAGAACGAAATGTGCGCGGCGATAAGGCGAGAGCCACATGTTGAAAACAACCCGCCCTCAATGTGTGAAAAGGTTGCATTTATATCATACACTACAATGTAATATATTAAAATAGAATATAATATTATATAGTGTGCTATGATATAACACAATAGAATATGATATAATATAATACAATATGATATAATATAGTATGATGTAATTTAATACAATGAAATGTGATATAGTATAACATGATATAATATGATGACCTATATTATATTATGATATAATATGACATAATATACTATAATATGATATGGTATACTGTGATATATTACAGTTATAAAATATAACGATATGATATAATATGTTAGTGAATATCGTAGTATGATACTATGTAGAAAAAATGATATGATATACTACGATGTACTGCAATAGAATGCAATATAAAAGAATAAAATGGAAATGTAACATAATATGATATTACATTATATAACAGAATATAATAGAATTTGAAATATAATGATATAATAAAACATACTGTAATATAATGTAACATGCTTGAATATATTATATCATGATGTGGTATGATATACCCGAGTCTACTACAATACAAAATGTATAATATGACATGATACGACACACAATACTCAAAAAAACAACATAAAACAAGAGTATTGCAAAATTGGATACAGCATAACATAATATAATAGAATATGATATATTGTGATAAAACAAAATACAATAAAACATGACTGAATATAACATACCATGATATAATATGATATAATACAATACACTATGACATACTCGAATGTATCATATTATATGTTATTATAATATGATATAGATATAACATGAAAAAATAAAATACAATATGATATAATATATACAAAAATGCCATGTAATCAAAATATTTTACGATACTACAATACACTCGAATACAATGTAATGTAATGTGATAATACAATGTAGTAAAATATGATATGAGATATTATAACAAAATATAATGTAATACGCTATATTATAACAAATTAGAATATCATGAAATACACGAAAACACACCACACAAAATAACAAAAAATGCGCGGCGCTTAGGCGAGAGCCACATTTTGAAAACCACCCGCCCTCTATATGTGAAACTGCTGCCACTTTTGAAGTTTCAGGATCATGAACGGTAAGGAAGTCTCAGGCGAAACGCCCGGCACGCCCGAAAAAATTGCCTCGGGTGCGACAGGGAAAGGCTGTATATAGGAAAAGGAATAAAGGAGGAGGAGAAGGAGGACGAGGAGGAGAGAGGGAAACAGGGGGAGGAGGAGGAGGAGGAGGAGGAGGAGGAGGAGGAGGAGAAGAAGGAAGGGGAGGACGAAAAGCAGGGAGAGGAGGAGGAGGAGGAGGAAGAGGAGGAGAAGGAGTACGAGGAGGGAGGAGGAGGAGGAGGAGGAGGAGGGGGAGGAGGAGGAGGGGGAGGAGGGGAGGGAGGCCGAGGGGCGCTCTCGTTACGACGAGGACCCAACATCACAGGATGGCTGGGAACGTGCATGGTGCGAAAACCAGCGCCTCGCTCGAGACATCCTCCAAATCTGCTCCGAAAGCGGAGGACGCTGCGGCAAGAAACAGGCAAACCGCTCGAGGCATCCCCGCCATTGTGGCGCGAACGGACGATTGAGGCTCCCCCTTGGGTGTGCTGAAACCCGCGCCTCGCTTGAGACATCCTCAGAATTTGACTCGCCATCATCATCATCATCATCATCATCATCATCATCATCAGCATCATCATCATCATCATCATCATCATCATCATCATCATCATCATCATCATCATCATCATCATCAGCATCAGCATCAGCATCAGCATCATCATCATCATCATCATCATCATCATCATCATCATCATCATCACGAGCTGGAGGGCTACAAGAACATGCTCGACAAGCTCCGCAGCGGAGACGCGGAGGACAAGCAGAAGCTCAAGGAGATAGGGTCCCCAGCTCCAGCAGTGGGGCTCGCCAAGGCTGGAGAGCCTCCTGAAATGCGACGTGGGCGGAGCACTCAAGCAGGAGATCAGCGCCTACCTGGAACAGGCCCAGCCGTCCGACGAGATGGCCGAAGTCGAAGTCACGAAGTACGAACTGCAGCAGCAGATCAGCTTCATACGGCTCGAGCGATGCTTCGGCGCGGACAAGACCAAGCTGATCGTGGGGCCCCAGAGTGGCCAGGCCGCAAGCTAATCATGAAGGCGTTGGCCGCCGAGGGCGCGGCGCAGCACCACCGTGGGGTGGCGCCAGAGGGATGGCTCGAGGAAGAGGTGGCGCACTGGTTGGAGACGCTCGAGCAATAGTTGTTGTTAGGGCCCCCCCGCTCCCTGCCAGCCGCCGCGGTGTACAGGTACAACACTAGCGCCCGCCTTCAGAAGACTCAGAGCAGGAACATGCCACAGGGCGCGCGCCGCCAGTCTCAGAAGACTCAGCGCAGGAGCGTGCCGACGGGCGCGCGCCGCCAGCCTCAGCGGCTTCTGTCGTCGCTTCCAGGCCAGACCCCCCAGCAGCTGCCGACTCGGAGTCGGCAGGACGTGCGCAGCCAGCCTCAAAGACTCAGAGCTGGAGCATGCCGCAGGGCGTGCGCCGCCAGTCCTGGAAGACTCAGAGCTGGAGCATGCCGCAGGGCGTGCGCCGCCAGTCTCAGCTTGTTCTGTCTTCTTGTCTGGGCCAGCAGACTCGGGGTCGGCAGGGCTGGCACAGCCAGACTCTGCCGACTCGGGGTCACCCCATCTCGAACGACCCGAAGGCCGACACGATCAGCTCGATACAGCAGCAGAAGACGAGGCCGCAGCTTTTTTATTTGACTAATAAATACCTCCTCGAAGCGTCTCGTGGCAGCGCGACGCAGCCCCCCTGTGTCAGCACCCGCGAGACGTGGCCCCAAGAGCGGGGACTAACGAGAGATTCGGCGCTCTGCGGCGGACCATAATTGGTTCTTTAACGTTGTGCAGGCTGTTGGTTCTGATGCCGCGTAAAAAAAAAAACAAACAAAAAAAAAAAAAAAAAGAACGATCATCATCAGCAGCAGCAGCATCATCATCATCAACATCATCATCATCATCATCAGCATCATCATCATCATCATCATCATCAGCATCATCATCATCATCATCATCATCATCATCATCGTCATCATCATCAGTATCAGCATCATCATCATCATCATCATCATCAGCAGCAGCATCAGCATCATCATCATCATCAGCATCATCATCATCATCATCATCATCATCAGCAGCAGCAGCATCATCATCATCATCATCATCATCATCCTCATCATCATCATCCTCATAATCAGCATCATCATCATCGACATCATCATCATAATCATCATCATCATCATCATCATCATCATCATCATCATAATCATCATCATCATCAGCATCATCATCACAATCATCATCATCATCATCATCATCATCATCAGCATCATCATCATCATCATCATCATCATTAGCAGCATCATCGGCATCATCATCATCATCATCATCAGCAGCATCAGCAGCATCATCATCATCAGCATCATCATCACAGCCATCATCATCATCATCATCAGCATCATCGTCATCCTCCTCATCATCATCATCATCATCATCCTAATCAGCATCATCATCGGAATCATCATCAGAATCATCATCAGCAGCAGCATCACCATCATCGCCACCATCAGCATGATCAACATCCTCACAACACAACATAACATACCGCTACAAAAAAACACAGTATCACACAACTTGGCGTGTCATAACATAAGAAACAAATCAAATGAACAAAAAATACAAAATACATCAGTACATACAAAATATAGACAGGAAGCATAACATACCATACCATCGCACTTCATGCCGTATCTTACAACAACCCAGCATGACGTGTCATACTATACCAAAAATATCTCTCACACACACACACACACACCATACCATAACATCGTATAACACCAGAGCATAACATCCCATACCGTAGCATCGCGTATGAAGGAAGAGGGAGTGAGGGCGGCGTGAGTGAGAAAGCTGGCGCGGTCGGAGCAATAACAAAAACCCCATCCATTGTAGATGGTGAATGGCGAATAGCACAACATTACATAACATGAAATAGCAAATAATAGGATAGCCTAACGTACCATATCATAGCGTGGCATGGCATAACATCGCAGAACATACCATACCATAACAAGCAGCAAATCGCACAACATATAATATCACACGATATCAGATTACAACATAGCATAACATAACACAGCATAGCATACGTTACGTCGCATACCCTGCCAGAATAGAACTTGCTAGCGCATAGCATAACATGACATAAGGTCACATAACATGCCAGAACATACTGTCAAATAACATAAGAGAACATAGCATAGCATAACATAACATAACAGCCTATACCATAGCATAACATACCATAACATACCATACAATCACACAACATGACGAGGAGGAGGGAGGTGTGCGTGAGGGAGTTGGCGCAGTCGGAGTAATAACTACTCACTGCGAGGAGCTCCCCATATGTGCATCTATTAGCATGGAACTGTCCGCCGTGAGCGTCTAGCCGGAAGAGTTTTCGAATATAAACGGGCTTGAGTATTGACGGCCTGGGAGTGAAACTAACTGTGAATGAGTTGGAGTACTAATGAGTCTCAGTAGTACGAGCGCCTCTCTGCGCATGAGCCTGGGGCCTCCTGGGGCCTCCTGAAACCTCCTGGGGCTTCCTGATGCCTCCTGGAGCCTCTTGGGGCCGCCTGGGGCTTGTCGGGGGGTTCCTCTGGCCTCCTGAAGCCTCCTGGAGCCTCGTGTGGCCTCCTGGAGCCTCTTGGAGACTCCTGGAGCCTCCTGGGGCCTCCTGGGGAGGATTCGTGCCCCAGGAGAGGCCCAATCTATAGGAACAGATGAGAAACACTTCGGGTTGGAGCCACAGGATAAGGGCAATCTATAGGAACACACGTAAAACACCAAGGACTCGTGCCCGACGGGAGGCCCAATCAAAAAGAACATACGTAATAAAACACTTCGGATTGGATACACCGGAGAAGGACAATCAAAAGAAACATCCGTAAAACACAAAGGATTCGTGCTCCAGGGGAGGCACAATCTATAGGAGCATACGTAAAACACATGGGATTGGAGCCTCTCCTGTGGCCTTCTGAGACCTCCTCCTCCTGGTGCCTCCTGGCGCTTCCGGTGGACTCCCGGGGCCTCATATGGCCTCCTGGGGCCTCCTGGAGGGAGCATCCTGGAGCCTCGTGCGACCTCCTGAAGCTTCCTGGGGCCTCCTCGAGCCTCTTGGGCATCCTGTGGCCTCTTGAACCTTCCTGTGGCCTCCTGATGCCTCCTGGGACCTCCTGTGGCGCCTCCTGGAGCCTCCTCGAAGCTTGTGGAGCCTCATGTGCCATCCTGAGGAGGATCCGTGCCCACGAGTCTGACCAGCAAAATATGCAAACTGCTCGAGACATCCTCAAGATCTGGCCCCCCTGGGGTGCGAAAACCAGCGCCTCGTTCGAGACATCCTCGAAATCTGCTCCGAAAGCAGAGGATGGTGCGGCGGCAAACAGGCAAGCCGCTGGAGACATCCCCGCCACTTTGGCGCAAACGGAGGAGTGCAATACCCCCTGGCGGCTCCCCCTTGGGGCTGACATCCGCGCCTCGCTCGAGACATCCTCAGGATTTGCTCCGCCATCTGACTACGAGTGCATCTGGCTACGAGTGAATCTGAGAGTGGGTGGGTCCAAGTGTGAGTGAGTCTGAGTGTGCGTAAATCTGAGTGTAAATGAATCTGAGTATGAGTATGATAAGTACGAGTCGGAGTATGAGTGAGTCTAAGCACGAGTGAGGTTGAGCATAAGTGAGTCTGGGACATCTTCAAACTCTCCGCCGCCTTGGTGAAACATCCAAGACACTCCTAGAAATGGACAGAGCTATCTTCACAATCTAGGCCCCCTTGGGGTTTCGAAACCAGCGCCTCGCCAGAGGCATCCTCAGAATCTGCTTTGAACGCAGACGAGTCTGGCCAGCAGAACAAGCAAACCGCTCGAGACATCCCCTAAATCTGTGCCACCAGCGTTGCGAAAACCAGCGCCTCGCCCGAAACATCCGCAGAATCTGCTCCGAAAGCGGAGGATGCTGCGGCAGCAAAAAGGCAAACCACTCGAGACATCCCCGCCGTTTTGGCGCGAACGGAGGAGTGAGATACCCCCTGGCGGCCCCTCCTCGGGGGCGAAAACCAGCGCATCGCTCGAGATATCCTCGAAATCTGCTCCGAAAGCGAAAGATGTTGCGGCGGCAAACAGGCAACCGAACGAGACCTCCCCGCCGTTTTGGCGCAAACGGAGGAGTGCAATACCCCCATGGCGGCTCCCCCTGAAACCCGCGCCTCGCTCGAGACATCCTCAGAATTTGCTCCGCCATCATCACCACCAACATCACCATCATCATCATCATCATCATCATCATCATCATCATCAGCAGCAGCAGCATCATCATCAGCATCAGCAGTATCAGCAGCATCAGCAGCATCAGCATCAGCATCATCATCATCATCATCATCATCATCATCATCATCATCATCATCATCATCATCATCAACATCATCATCATCATCATATCATCATCATCATCATCATCATAATCATCATCATCATCCTCATCATCATCATCATCATCACAACCACCATCATCACCACCACCACAAACACCATCATCATCAACACCACCACCACCATCATCATCATCATCATCATCATCATCAGCATCGTCATCATCATAATCGTCATCATCATTATTAGCATCACCATCAGCATCGCCAGATTCATCAACGTCATCAGCATGACAGAACATAGCATAACAAAACATAACATAATAGATCATGATATACTATAATATGTCATAACATAACACCGCATAGCATAACATGGTATCGCATAACAAAGCATAGCATAGCATGTCATGGCATACAATAACATAGCATAGCATGGCATACAATAACATAGCATAGCATGGCGTACCATGGCATAGCACATCATCACATAGCATGACAAAAAAAAAAACGCACCATAGCATAGCATAGCATCACATAGCATAGCATAAGAACAACGCACCAAAACATAACATTACATAACATAACATGAATAGGAAGGAGGTGTGTGAGGAAGTTGGCGCGGTCGGAATAATAACAAGAACTCCCAACTGTGGATATGGGGAGCAACAACCCCATCCTGTAGATATGAGAAATAACAGAACAAAGCATAGCATAGCATGACGTATCATAACATAACATGCCATAGCATGCCATAACATTGTATATCATAACATCGCATAAAATACCGCAATTTAGCATAACACAGCATTACATGTCATAACAAGCATCTGAGTGAGATTCTGGGTGAGGAAGAGGAGGAGGGAGGTGAGTGGGCGGAATGTTCCGCCTCAGCGCGATCGGGGTAATAACAAGAACCCCATCTTTTGGATATGGGGAACCACAAGAACCCCATCCTTTGCATATGAGGAAAAATGTGACCCTCCACAGTATTCTGTCGCGTTAGACTGCCTCCCTCCCTCCCTCCGTCCCTCCCTCAACGCAGGCACTGAAGAGCAGGAGGGGGAAAGGATGAAGAGTCGAGTCTTTGAGAGGCTTTCGCCCTCCAGAAGGCTCCAGAGACAGCCAGCAGCCTCCAAGGGGGGGCAAGGAGGAAAGGCGGGAAAGGAGAGAAGCAGGGGTAGAGGGAATGAGGGAAATGAGGAGGGGGAAGGGGGGTGAGGGCAACGAACGTCGGAGGAGGGATAGGAGAGCATCTGGGCCAGAGGATCGCAGAGACGAGTCTCACCAGTTACCACAGTACGAGGGGCAGAGGCCCGACTGATCGTCCACAAAGATGTCTCAAATCTGCATGGCCTTCTTCTATCGCCGCGTCCCGATGCTCCTGCTGCAAACTTGGCATGGGCTCCTGTTTCCAAAGACGCACGTTGCGAAAGAAGTGTGTCAAACCTCATAATCCAGGCCGGCCCCAAAAAAATGTAGGGCCTCCCTCGTAATGTGAGGAACGTAAGAACGCAACCCAGGCCAAGCAGGAGGGAACTATTTAAGCTTGGTCAGATTTCCCTCGGGGGGATTCCTGAGCACACCTGGAAACTCCCTTCTTTTTGGACTGGTTGGGATTCCTGCAGAACGTGTGCTAACGCCTACGAGTGCTTGTCCAACGAAGCCTTTCAATACGACGCGAGGGGTGTAATGAGGTCCGGCTAGGGTTGCGCGCCATCAGTGGAGCTGGGCGGGGGAAGCAGGCGCTGGGCGCAGACGTCAAGAGGACGAACGATCCCTGTCCCTGCCAGTCTGAAAGAAGAGCACGCAAGAAACGTCGTCGTGGCAACGCCCGTGAGCCCCGCCCCCGCTAGCCTCCTGCAGGAACACGCCGATGGGCCCTGCGGCCGAGCCCTTCACGAGTCCCAGCGCGTCGGCGATGAGCGCTGCCGTGCGCACCGTCTGCGGGGCGCCGGTGATGCGTTTCCCCACGGGACGCCAGGCACGGGGACCTCTGAGACCGCGGCGTTGCACTTGAGACTCCGACGTGCGAGCGAGAGCGCCGCGCGGCGACCCTGCGGAGGAAGCCGATCGGACTCGAGACATCGGCATCGCCCGTCTCGAAAGTCCCTGTCCCTGGGGTCCCCTTGGGAACCACACGAGCCGGGGGGGGGGTCCGTCACTGGCCGCGCGGGAGGAGTGACCCTGGGCAGGGGTGGCCTCTGGCGTGCGGCGTCCCGATCGTTGTCTTGCGATGCCACGGCAGCGGCCCGCGTGCCTGGGATTGGCCGCCCCGAGGTCCCCCGAAGGCCATGTGCCATAGGTCACAGTGGCAAGGACCCTCCCAGACGTGCAGCCGACAGTTCTGGGAAAAGGACATGGGCACAAGTCCGCCCTTCTTGCGTGGAACGAGACAGAAATGCATCCGCAACTGTGCCTGCACGGAGTGGGCGTGGTAGAATGCTTGTATGTTTTCTGGTACGTAGTTTTTTTCCGAAAATTATAGGGCCGCTCCCCCTCACCGCGCTCATCTGCCGAAACTCGTCCCCCCTGAATGTGCTCTCCAGCGCTCTTATTCGGCCTCCAGACGGCCAAGATGGCCTCCAAGACGGCTTCCAAGATAGCCAAAGTAACACCAAGACGGACCAAGATGGCCCAAGACGGCTCAAGAGGCTCCCAAAACGGCCTCAAGACAGTTCAAGAGGCCCCCAAGACTGCCCACGTGGGTTCCAAGCCCGAGGAAGCCCAAAGCATTGATTTTCCGTTGGTTTTTGAAGGATGTTGAGCATCTTGCCTGTTTGGGTTTCGGACCGCCCAAGACGGCCAAGGAGGCCTCCAAGAGGGCTCCAAGATAGCTCCAAGGCAACCCAAGAGGCCTCCAAGAGGGCCCCAAGTCGGCCCAAGAGGAGCCAAAGATTTCCCAAGGGGCTCCAAAGGAGGCCCGAAGAAGGCCCTGAAGCGCTCCAAGATGGCACCAGCACGGCCCAGAGAGGCCCCCAAGATGGCCTCCGACAGCGACCTCCTCCTCCTCCGCCTCCTCCGCCTCCTCCTCCTCCTCCTCCTCCTCCTCCTCCTCCTCCTCCTCCGCCTCCTCCTCCTCCTCCTCCTCCTCCTCCTCCTCCTGACGTCCCTGGGAGGCCCCCGGCGTGCCCCCCGACTCCGCCGAGGCCTCCCGGGAGCCCACGACAGTGACAGCTGCGCGGCTCGCAGCCTTCCAGGGAGCACACCGGGGTTCCGTCCCGGTGCGCGTGCCCCGCGACCCCGCTGGATCGCCCAGGAGCCCGCGAGAATGGCGGCCGTTGCGCAGGTCGGGGCAGCCCAAGGAGCAGCGCAGAAGGAGGCAGGCGGAGGCAGGAGGAGGGAGGAGGCAGGAGGGAGACGGAGGAGAGGGAGGAGGAGGAGAGGGAGGAGGAGGAGGAGGAGGAGGAGGAGGAGGAGAAATGGATACCACAATGCTCTGTTCAAAACCAAAACCCAACACACGAGGGCGAGAAAAAAACACGTTGTCTCTATGCAGCATGCGCGGCATTGCTGTTGACAAGGGCGGCGGGGGTGTCGGCATATTACCAGCGCTGTGCAATGACATCACCCCACCACTCCTGCCAAAGAAGAACTAAACGTCCACGTTTGAGCAAAATGTTGAATCATGTTCGGGGGCGCGAACACTTCGTACTGTTTGTTGACAGGGCTGGCAGGGGTGCCAGCATATGGCCTGCCATGCGCAAGGCCACCATCCCCTTAAACCATCCGGGCGAAGGACCCAACCGCATGCAAATGTGAATACCGCCAAGCTGGCTGGACGAAGGACGGGGAACCCGTATTGTGAGCAGCACGTGTCAGGGTATGCCGACATGGGCGGGGGGAGCGTATGTGGACACCGCCGCCAAGGCTTTCGGCGGAGCCCCCTGGGAACAGGCCACGAAACGCTGTACTGGGTGGCACGGACGTATGTGACCACAGCTATTGGGGCCGTCGGTGGAGACCCCTTATGGGGCCACGAAACGTTGTACCTGGTGGCACGGACGCATGTGACCATAGCCACTGGAGCCGTCGGTGCTGGGTGGCGCGGACGCATGTGATCGTACCCTAGAAGGGTTTTCGGTGGGGCCCCCTTATGGGGCCACGAAACGCTGCTATGGGTGGCACGGACGCATGTGATCACAACCATTTGGGGCTTTATGGAGTCCCACCAGCCCTCTGGGCGTAGGTGGTCTAGAGCAGATCCTCTTCCACCCCTCCCTCTTCCCCCTTGGGGAGGGGTTTACCCCTCCCCCTACCCCCTCCCCTGGACCTGGACGGGGGGGGCCGCGGGTAGTTAGAGCGTCCCAGATGGCCCAAGACGGCTCCAAGAGCGCCTCAGAGAACCCAAGATGAGCTCCAAGATGGCTCAAGATAGCGCAAGATCGCTCGAGATGGCTCCTAAGATGGTTCCAAGAAGCCCAAAGACGGCCCCAAGATAACTCCAAGTGGCCAAACAGCTCCCCAAGGAGGCCCCGAAGAGGCCAAAATCGTCCCAAAACCTAAGGAAAATCAATGATTTTTGCTTTCTCGCCTTTTCGCTTCCGATGGCCATCCGAGGCCTGGAGATGGTTCCAAGATGGCCCAAGAGGGCCCCAAGAGAGCCCCAAAAGAGCCCCAAGACGGCCCCAAGAGCGCCCAAGAGCACTCCAAGAGCGTTCCAAGAGGGGTCCAAGAGGCGATTTTAGGGGCTTCCGAGGGGGGACGCTAATTAAACCCCCCCTCTTGTTTGATCGATCTCCTCCAAGATGGCCCCAAGAAGCGCCCAGGAAGCCCCAAGAGGTCCCAAGATGGCCCCAAAATGGCCCCAAGAGGCCCCCAAGAGGCCCCCCGGAGGCCCCCAAGAGACCCCCAAGAGGCCCCAAGAGCCCCCCCAGATGCACCCAAGATGCTCCAAGAGGCCTCGGCGAGAATGCCTAATCATTGATTCTACACAGGTTTTAGCCACATGGAGGCCTCTTGGGGGGGGGCACGGATTAAGATGACTCCAAGAGCGTCTGGGAGAGCCCAAAATGACCTCCAAGATGGCTCAAGATATCCCAAGATGTCTCATAATGGCTTCCTCTGTGTGCTGCCCACTTCTCTGATCGAGGCAATTCCTCTGGGCATCGTTTCTGGATGGGCTGGTGGGGATTCGCGAAGCGACAACAATTACGAAACGCTGTACTGGGTGGCACGGACGCATGTGGTCATACCCGCTGGGGCCGTCGGTGGAACTCCCTATGGGGCCACGAAACGCTATACTGGGTGGCACGGACGCATGCGATCACAGCCACTTGGGCCGTCTGTGGAGCTCCCTATGGGGGCACGATACGCTATGTTTAATAGCGCGGGCGAATGTGATCACAGCCTCTGGGGCTTTTGGTAGAGCTCCTTATGAGGCCACGAGACGCTGCACTGCGTGGCGGACGCACGTGGTCACAACCATTGGGACCTTCGGTGGGGCTCCCTATGCGACTACGAGACGCTGTACTGGGAGGCACGGACGCATGTGATCACACCCGTTGTGGCTGTCGGTGGAACTCCTTATGGGGCCATAAAACGCTACGACGGAAAAGCCACCCACGCAGCACGTAGACAACCGCCAAGATGAAGAAGTAGAAGTTCTGAACGAAACAGACACCGAACACATACCATGGTAGCAACTCGCAAAGAGCATACGATGCGGGGGGTTGGCGTGTCACGAAATTGCGGTCCGAATATGCGCTGCCACGGACGAAGGGGGCACCAGCTGAGCGTCCCACATCCCGGCAGTGCGCCGGCACATGTGGACCACGATTGAGTGCGTCCAGGGCCGGTGGGCCCGGAGGCGACCCTCCCGCAGGCCGCGACGCAGGGCAGCAACGGGCCTGCTGCCAGAGACCATCCTCCTCGCACCTGATCCCCACAAGTGCGATGCCGTTTCAAAGTGTGAGCCAACAGAGTGTGTCTACGAGAGCCCCATCTATGATTGGACATCCAAGTGACATGGTAGCAGCTGCACGCCGAGAACATCTGCGCATGAGGGGGGTGCAGCTAACCGCCGCGAGACACGCTCTCTGCAGGGCAGCGACGGGCGTGAAGAATAGTGCATTGGGAGCCCCCTCCTTCATCTACATGTTTCAGGTCTTTGACTCGTCACTGCAATTAGCAAAGATTAAGCCTTGAAAGTAGCGAGCAGGCCGAAAAGATGTAAGACCAAAACGCGTATCAAGATTGGTAAGACCAACGCATGACAGTTCACTGAGCCTCCATCAGACACATGACCATGCAGTGGCCTCGATCATCTTCAAATCAGAACCAAAAGGGGATTTGCATAATCATCACTCGGGAGCTCAAACGCCAGGATGCGTCGAACTCAGAGGCTCATGGAAGAAACTGCACTGGAACCTGTCGTGAAACCAAGGCACATCGTGACTTCTCGCAGATATTCAACACTGGAACATTCTCATCAGGAAACCAGCGCCCTGCATGAACACGAACAGATACGCACGCAAGCCAAACCTTCAGTAAAAACACGCCCACGGATATCGAGCTATAGTCGCGCAAGGCAGATGGCAACCACCTCAAACGGCACAAGCACGAGCCAAAATAAGCTGCACATCACCGACTGCATAGTAGATGACGCACGACGCTATAACAGCCATGCCAGTTGGCAGGACAACGGCACAAGTACCATACAATCGTGCGATAATGGTTGACTCTCCTCGCCTATATTTACATGTCTGCCATCTTTTACCATGAAGAGGGCCCAGGGAAATGAGCACGGAGACAAGCTCATCGCGCGCCCCTGATGTCAAACTATCACGCGGATGCGCATGCTAAAACTAACGGAGCATATGTGCTCTGCACGCGCGCTAGCACAAATCATTGTTGCTGAGTGCGCAAGCACGAGGTAGTGCATTGGGGCCCCCCCTCCTTCATCTACATGTCTCAGGTGTTTTCCTCGTCATTACAATCAGCAA